AAATTCGATAAGCTCGTCGGGCGAATAGATAAAAAGAAGCGGCGTCGTGCCCTCGAGTGTGTCTGCCTTGCGACGAGATAAAGCGTGGTTTACATGCGCTTCCGACGATAACGGATCGTCGATGCGAGGATGGGAGGCAGGGGAGGATCGGAGGATCTCCGTCCGCGCGAATGAGGGATGCGATGAATTTTTGAAGAATTCTGTCAATAGCAGTCGCGCTCTCGCCAAGTATATATGAATGGCGGGAAGCGGTGGAGAGACCCGGCAATCTGCAATGACGAATTCCTTTCAATATTTCATGAAGTCTATAGACTCTCCAGTCACTGTTCTCTCATCTCGACGGGCATCGATCCCGTCCGCCGCTACTCTAAGTGGGATATCCTTCGATAAAACAAGCAAGTCATAGTCGTCGTGGCTTTCACGCTCGGTTTGTCGATGATGAAAAAGCGCCCACGTTAATGTAATTAATGATTTTTATATATTATATAATTGCAGAAATTCGAGAAATGTCAAGTTTCAAGGGTGATTTTAGCGCGCGGATGGGTATTCAGTCCAAAATTGTGAGCAGCTGCTACAAGAGGATTTACGAAAGAGAGAAAGAGAGAGAGAGAGAGAGAGAGAGAGAGAGAGAGAGAGAGAGAGAGAAAGAGAGTAACGTAATACCAAGTTCAGTGTCAAGTGCGTATCGCGTTACACGAACGTCACCCGATCTTTCTCGTACCGAGAAATCAAACTCCTCCGATTAGAGCGCGCGATGATCCCGATCATTTGATTCGGCTCTTATCAGACCTGTTTGTGGGAAAGAGGCGCAGAGAGGAGGCAGATGCGAGAGATGAGTCGAATCATACGCCATGCTTAATTCGCAGCGTCGTTTCGGCGCTCGATTTCGAGTAAACATCCCATTAGAATGATCGAGCGACGTTCGGATCGATTGTATCTTTCCCTTAAAAAGGAACGGAGAGGTGGCGATCTTAAAATATATTCGCGCGCGCGTAATCGCGACGATCATCGCGCTTTCGCGAGGCGTTTGCCGACGACACGAGGGGGAAGTTTTCTGCAAATGTGTTACGAGAAGACTCTAGGCGCGCGCGGGGGACTGCCCACAGCTGTTCCTATAAATAACAACCCCCGATTTGATGCAACCGAGCGAGCGGGCGCTCGCGGCGGCAATTCTGCATCTTCTCTCGCGAAAGCGCGGCAACTATGGTTATTGACCCTCCTCGCGCGCACGGGCCCGGCACTATTTCCGTTCGTGAAATAATGGCCCGCGAGCATCGTAACGTGTGATTTAAACGCGCGCAACGATGGATCCCGAGGTTCGATGCGTTGACTACATAATCCGATGTAAATGCGAGATACATTATTTCCAATTGTTCATTACATGTTTGGATATACATGAAGAATGCTAATTTCTTATTTTTCAATTGCCCTCTCAAAGATCTTTTATCTTTAATAAATTTCATCAGCTTCGAAAAAGAGGAGATACATATCTCCACGAATTATAGATTGATTGACGAATTAATTATATAATTAATAAATCAATTATGGATAATTATATTATATATTAAGCTATAGAGAATGAATCCTCTCTGATAAGTAGAATAAATAGCAAATAACCTTTGAATATTCGTCAATCAAATGACAACGTTTTTGAATTTTCACAATTTGGCCAGTAAACGAAAATTACCCGCATGGTAAAATAAGAGGAGCGTGTATTCGCATTAAAACGATATATTACGATTGAAGATTTGATTATTGTCTGTGGGACATAATTATGTTCTGCCTGACGTACAGCTTTATTCGTATACCGGGCACACAAAATGCAATAAAATATATTATACAATAAAGCGGGGAATTTATCCGCGGATTACATTATCCATCACGGCCGCGAAAGATTAAATCTCCATAAATTATTCATTGTACAAATGATATTCATTAACGATTCCAGCCACCAAGTGTAATATGCGGTAGCGACTGTAGTCTACTTGATTCTCTCAATATATTTTTAATGCATCAAAGTGATATACACGTATTTTACGTAATTATAATCTGCAGAGATTTTTCTCAATCACGATTATCAAACTGCAATTAAATTGAAGTAAGCAAATTTTGTGACGTTTGTCGTTTGTCGATAAAATTTCAATCGTGATGTTGCTCCATTTGTGGGAGGTTCCAATATTGATGGAGATTTATCAGTTTCAACAAGTCGCACGACTATCAACCTTTTACACATATTTTGATCGAGATATTATAATTTTTACTCAGAAATAAAAAATTTTTCGAAATCATTTCGCACGCACATATTCGAGATTTTAACGAGAATCGAATCTCTCGCGAATTGTCTATTTAATTTACAAAGCGACGAAAAAAAGAGAGAAAAGATAAAACGAAGAGAATGAAAGAGCAATCGATAATATCGCGATAGTCGCAATCTTTTTATAAGATGCGCTAGCACGATCGACATTCGGGGCTTCGTCGCAGCATCGGCTGCGCATAATTTTATAGTGTGTTTTAGTGCGTGCGCTGCGACTGACCAGTGATCTTTCTCTTTCGTTTTCGTTTTCCTTCTCTCGCGCTCGTATCCTCCTCGTACGCATCACCAAACCTTCTCGCTCTTCTGGCCTCCTCTCTTTTCTTCGTAAAGGAGGCACGACCAGCGGGGCAGGGTCATGGCCGGACATCGTCTGCCGTACTCTCTTTCTCTCTTTCTGTTTCGCTCGATGCTCTACACCCACGTTACATCTGTTCTATTCGCGTGCAGTATAGAACTGCCCCTCTCGTGCTGTACTTTCGTAAAGCTCAACTTTACAGTGAGCCGAATATGAGCCATCGAGATTTCGCGAGAGATATTCCATCGAATAGATCTACGAGCGATTTTTCTAAACGCAAAATTGCACCTCCGCGTATGGAATAATTTATATTTATATGTAAATATATGCAGTATTTATTTCCGAAAGCCATCTAATCCGCACATACTCTTTTCCAAAATGACAAAACATTGTTAAAAATATCAAGAAATGGACTTATGTTGATGCAATATTGAATGAAATATCTTATAGATATCTTTATACGTTTTCGTAAATGTAAAAGAATAATCGTTTTATTGAAGTAGAATTTATAGATTTATTTCAAGTGTTATATTTTACGACGAAAAATATATGCAAGTTTCGTAAACTTTGATTGTATTTTAAGATACAATTTAGAAGCGCACAAAAATATAAAAGTGAAATAAATTATTCCTGTGAGGATATTACTATTTCCAACATGATGTAACTTATGCCAAAAGAATGATAGCAGGATATTACTTATCGCGAGGATAATGCTTGAAGATGTCCTATTATTTTTACGTCTAGAATGACGTCAAAGATACAGGCTCGAGTCATCGTACAAAGTTGAAAGTCAAGGTTTTTAAGATTTTGCTGGACCGAATGTTTCAACGGTGATTCACAAGGACAATGACCCGAGTCAATAATGCAATTTTCGGCAATGTGATGCAACATATGCGAAAAACCCGAAAGTTTCTCCAATTGTCAACAGAGCAGGTCAAGAAAGGACGGTTTGACATTTTTAGTAAATGCGTAACGGTCTATAGCTTTCTCTTTTTTCTCTGATATATTTTAAATTTTCGTTATTTGAAACACAAAAAGTGTACATATAATTTCAATATTATATTTATATTTTCAATCGATCATTTTGAACGTCACGATGGGAACATAAATTTTTACGACGCATGTTGACAAATATATTTTTCGAAACAGCCTGTATGAATTATTCGCAACGCGAAAGAAAAAATTAATAACGCTGGGCGCAGAAATTAAAATGTCATACGTGGATCCCTCTCATATTTCTTGCGCTGCTCTGAATTGTTCCCCGCCACAACCACGTGTTGCACTCCAGAATTTTGTCCGAGATGTTATCGACCATTCTCTCGTTGCGCTATTCCAATTCTGACAGCTTTGGTAATCTAATGGCTTTGATATTCGGGTAATTTTAACGTCTTTAAAATTTAGATAGCATCGTTACAACCAGTAGTAGCTTTAACGAAAGTGGTGAGTTTGCGAAATCATCATGAACGAGATCAAGAGATTGTTTTGTTTTTTGTACTGTCTTGTTTTTATTTAGAAGTTTATTAATCAATCGTAATTGTGATATTTTTACAAAAAATCAAGACTTCTTATATCTTACTTTTTCCATACTATATTCCATACTTTGCTTATTGCTTTATAATCTACGAGTATACAATCATAAACGAGAATAGCGCATATTGCGCTTTATTTCCAACAATTGCGTCGCGCAATCGATAGATAGACGCGAAGAGAGGTCGCATCGGTACTCTCACGATAATCGCTTTACAAAATATCAGGAAAGGTAACATTTATCTTTCATACGTCAGTAAACCGTCAGTATCACATTTTTTCTCAAATACAATTAATAAATAAAATAAATAAATTCTAGCCTACATCTATATTATTATTATTATTATTATTATTATTACTATTATTATTGTTATCATTGTTATTATTGTTATTATTATTATAATAATTATTATTATTATATCTATATTATTATCTATGCTATTTATGCAACATCTATGAGAACTTCTATGAGAACAAAAACAATCTATTTTTATCATTTTCATGTATAATTTTTTACTTTAAAAATTTTTTTTCAGTCAAAATTATGGTTTGTTAATCACACAATTCAATGATACCAAGCATATCACACGATAATCGGTCTCAAAAATTTCTCTCTCCTTTCTTTATTACATACAGTTACTAATTCATTTGAAGCACGAATGACGAATAATTTCATTATTAATCTTCGAATCGAGTTGCTGGAGTGCAGTTTCAAGCACGCAAGACAATTGTCTGACAATTATTTTCTTTTTTTTTTCGCATTCATCTTTTTCGTCCGATAAATCATTGATTTTTCCCGCATGTACTTCGCGAGATAGAAAGAGACGCTAAGGTGCAAAAATTTTATAAATTCGTACAACTCACGATTTCGCGACGGATGGTGGGCGTTCCTGCTCCGAAGGGCATTGTGTAGCGTTACATATAGCTGCAGCATCAATTGTTCTCTCGTTTGCGTTCCCTCGTCGTTGTCATCGCCGGGCAAGAATGGTATCGCCATGGTTAGAGCCTTCTTCGCTTCCTCTCTTCTTGTCTTTTCTCTTCTCTTTTCTTTTCTTTTCTTCTCTTCGTCCTCGAACGTAGGCGCAGGTAAACGCACTCCGGGAGTTCCGTTTAGTTTCTCGCTCCGCAACGACGCACTGCAACGAAAGCAAACAATGTTCGTGGTCGAGCTCACTGCACACTCTTCCCGCGCACCTGATCGCCCTCGTTCAGAGTCTCGAACGATGTCTATCTACATACAAGTCCTCGCAATGAATCGCGCGGCGCGTATTAGAACGCGTATTAGATGCCGCACGTGACCGTTCAGTTCACCGGCGCACGCACGCTTCCAACGTTCATCGTAGTGGATCGCACGTGGTGCGCGCACGCAGCAGCCCCCAGGGTTCGCGTATACACGTGTACGCGTGTGCGCGTGTAGACCGGAGGAAAGAGTTTTTTTATTCTTCTTCGCGCGCGACCGATCAAATCGGAGTGCATCCGAGGAAATCTGCGTCTCGAGAATCTCACTTTCGCGCTCTTGGCCTCGATGGGAATCGCGAGATACGAAACTGTCCCCTTCCCGCGAGCTATCGTTGGCCAACTTCAACACCGAGCTCGACGTACGCCGAACTTTGCGAAGAGGCGACGTGGCGACGTTTCTCACCTCGAGGAGAGTCAAAAAGCGGAAAGCTCTCGTCAAAGCACAAGCGTTCAACGTCCTTGCTTCTCACAGTGATCTGACAGCCGCACCAGTTGATTCACGTCTCACTCGCAAGAGTAAACACACAGGCGAGAGTCGTCGCGCGAGCCGTCACGTGAGCCTCGGAGGCGCGTGCGAAGATGAACGCGACGAGATCGGAAAATCGTCGACACCCGGTCCACCGGGTCCGCGGTCTCTTCTTTGGCGCGATATATCACACGCGTGTCAAATCGGCGGCGCGCCGAAAACAAGAGTACGGCGAGAGACGAGAGCGGGCGGTAAACTACTACGAGCGACACGAGATCTCGACTGAGGTCAGAGTAACGAGAAACACGTCTGTTCTCCTCGAGGTCTGGCGTGGTAATGATGCTGTGCTTTCACAGTCAGTCGATCCGCACGTTCTGCCTCGCGGCAGCACAACCGGCTCTTCCCTTACTCCGCTGCCGCTCGCGCGGCCGATTGGTCGAGCGGTGGGGAGACGTGCGCGCGCAACTCTCGTGTGGCGAAAAATAAAGCGGCCTGGGGAGGGTAGTCGATTTACTCCGGGGTGGGGGATGGGCGCGCGCGCGCGGGGAGCGTGACAATACATTATCCGCTCCTCGGACGTCGCGAGTGAGCTCCGTTTGAACGCCAATATTTACTGCAATCATGCGTTTGCAGTCGCCAGATACACGCTGCGTCCGGGGAGGGTGTGCCCTATGGACTCGAATAACGTATTTTTTTAATATTCCAGGATATTTATGTTGGGAGATCGAGATTTTGCGCGGGCGATAAAATAAGGACAAAATCGTATTCATTTAATAGTAGATTTAATAGGAAGACGTATGATCGCTACTTTTCCTTTATCGAGATTAGACAAGGATAAATATTTTTCTGCTACGAGAAAATATCGCGTACATTGTTCCCACGTCTATATATTTCGCATTACGTCTTGCGGCTTTTGATAGACGTGATACGCGAGGGCGACTCGTTGCGCGCTTGGAAGACGCAAGTGCATTTCTGCAGTGCGCCGCGCGCGCGACACGATCTTGGAGCGAGAGCGGAGCGTGTAGCACGTAGCAATGGGATCTCTCGACGAGGGAGAGAGTGAGAGGCCCCGCACACGAGCGAACACTACCGGAGTAAAGGCGCGTATGACACTCGAGCGCAACTGCGCAGTTTACGCGAGACCGAGCGCGACCTTTGTACAGGGGTGGGATTTACTACCGCCAATCGAAACTGTTTGCATTATCTCGATTAAGAAAAAAAGGAAGGAATTAAATTCTCGAAGAAGCTAAAAAAGAAAAAAAAATTTCGTTCGTTTTCCAAATGATTTTAATTCTTTGATTTTATGCAAGTTTAATTCACTGGAATTTTAATATCCAGATATTCCTTTTTTTAGTAAATGAGTAGTTTCGAGTAATTCGTGTGCAGTGGCGAAATCGCGAATCGTACGTCATCGATATTAATGATAAGCACTATTGCGGTAATATTGTTATGATAATTGTTGATTATACTCTCTCCGACGATTATAATAGACGTTCAGATAATAACGAGTATCAGTCTGCAGTGTCAAAGATTAACTCGAATCGCTCGAATGACTACGCGGAGTTAATAAGCTCATGCTTATAATTAATTAGGAACGGATGAGCGAACAAACACATGAGTGGGGTGCTCAATTTCCCGATAATTTATGACGACGCAAACGATGCTCACGACATATGCATGTACATATATATATATATATATATATATATATATATATATATATATCGCAGTACGTTACAATTTTTTTTTCGTACAGAATACCGATGAATGGACAAACAGAGAGAAATAAAAATGCACAATATGCCCCTATCGCGTGCACTGATTCACGATGCATACACGTGTACATACATGCAGGCATACACACACACACACACACACACACACACACACACACACACACACACTTAACTACAGAGTGCGAGTGTATAAATAAATACGAGATCCCATATTCAACGCGAATCAAGGAAATTGATATTATACTAATATTAATATTTTTCTCTTTGTACATACAATTCGCATAATATTTAGCGAATTTTATAAATTACGCATTTTGCGATGAAAAGCGTACTAAACGAAAACGCATTGTGTATGTATTCTTTAAAATTTTTCTCGATATTGACATATTTGATTTTAGCACTTGTAAAATATACAGCATTGCTCGAATAAGACTGGCGCACAAATTAAATCGTGGAAGAATTCGAGTACTTGCGAATTTCCATTCACATGCTGAATTGCATAACGTAACATAGACTCGAGAGATGTGCACTAGCGAGCGCGTTAAACAGTCTCGAGAGCGTAAACGTGCGCGCCACTTGAATCGAGGGACAATCTAGGTCTGTTGGCAGTATGTTACGTGTCTGCGTACACAAATAGGAGAAGGAAGAGAGAGAGAGAGAGAGAGAGGAGGGAGAGAGGGGGAGGGAAGAGATTAATGCTATGAGTGGAGACGGGAGGGGAGAGGTATTGTCATTGGATATCAGATGCGGGAGTTAAAGGCCAGGTGAATCTCGGCACGTCGGGGATGACGTTACAGAGAGATGACATTACCTATAGATCGTGGAAATCGGAGTCGATGTGCGCTGAGATGTTAGATAGATGTTGTGCCGTAGATCGTTCAACGACGAATGATGTGTCTGATATCGATGGATCGATACTTATAAAAGACGGTGGAGCTCGACATTGGTGATAATTTTGCCGCAAAATCATTGGCGATCAGTGATATCCCTCGAGCCTGAGTTTCGCCAATCGATACGCATACGCTTATCGCGAACGTTTGTCATGGGAATTACTCGTTACGAGAAGCACCACTTCTACGAAACTTCGTCTACGAGTATGAAACCATTGTCTCAATATATGCGAAAGTAAGGAGGTGACATCAATAAAAGGGACGAGAGTATCATCATTATACGACAATTCATTTCTTTTAACAAGATTAAATTTTGTCTCGAGAGAACTTTGAAGAGTATTTTCTAATACTTTTTACGAATAAAGTACATTTTATTTAAGAGATATATGAGAAAGGTGAAATTGCGAAATGTTACACAATATAAGCAACGAAATGTCTTGACAGATTAGATTAAGATCGCTGAGTAGGCATAGAAAGTACACAATCTGTCACATTATCGTTACAGAAAAATAAGAGAGATTTGACTGAAAAGAAGCATTATAAAATGCAATCACAGAAGACTCGAGATCGTTAAATTTCCTTAAAAAAACTTCAACTTCATTTTCTTTGATATACACGTTCTAATAAAATACATCTTATCGAGTTCTAGATAAGCTTTCAATCAATATCCGATTCAATCAATAATTCCGACAAAATTGTTCCTTTGGTAGTAGTTTAGAGATAGCACGATTATAGGCATGATATCAGCGAAATCTCTGATTAAATGCGTCACGCATCACTTTCTTATTGATCAATTTTTGGAAATTTTATCGAATTTTAGCCGCCAAACGCGATTATAACGATTGTAATAAATAAATAATCGGCTGCTCGAATGGCTTTCCATCGTGCAAAGATTTTCGATCGACGCGATATCTCGCCGAATCTATTAATCGCAGATGCAAATGTCAGTTTAATTACTTTCAGGATTCCCGAACCGATCGGAGTCAATGTCGCAGGTGCTTCTCGGTGATCAAGATTAACGATCCGCGAGTTGAGAGTCATAAAAAAACACTTCGACAAGAGCAACCATGTTCCCCCCCTCCTCCCCTCTCACTCTTTTTCTCGCTCTCGCTCTCTCCTATCTCTTCCACAATCTCGTCGTCTGTCTATCGTTTTATTTCGGTGGAAAGAGCATCGCGCAACGCAATCGTCCGAGATTTAAAACCGGTAGCACCGTAGGACCGGGCTGTATATTTTTAGAACGACGCGGTCGCGTGGGCGAACGATGGTCATCGGTCGGAGAATCCCCGCTACTTTGTTTCTCGAGCGTATACCTTGATCACGATGATCTCGTGATGGACTGATTCGCGTACTCCGTCGATTACAGTTTGCAGCCCAGGATAAAATACACCGTAGAGAGAAGAAAAAGAGAGACAAATCGCGGCCATGCATTTCGAGGCCTCGCAATATCTGACGCAATTTTGGAGCAGGAGAACTCGCGATAATAAATTATGACGTGCGTGTAAGTTATCGTCGCGCCTGTTTGTAACTCTAAGCAAAGTACACTATCTCTTCATTCATCCGATGGTAGAATCCTCCACGCCAACAAGAGGGTTTTCATTTCATATAACCGTTAAAGTGAGCACACTCGTCAACCATAAGTGATGATGATTGAAGACTATTGGTTTAATAAAATATATAAAGATAAGTGCGTAAATTTGTAAAAATTCAATCCAGTTATCATCGAACCATGTAGGCGAAATTTATACTTTGTATTTATGAAAATCATGTTTATGTACGCCATGTACATAAACATACCACGTCGTTAAAATGAATCTATGAGAGATAGCGTATGCTTATAGAGAATGATTCATAGCCAAAACATCAGTTATGTATATAAATATATCTGTTCCATCGGTATAGAAACGCCGAGGAAGAAAAGTCTAAAGTTTAAGGTCTCTCGCGATTAATGAAGCGGCTTAATTATCGGGGCAATTACCGCGGTGGGGAGTGTTATCGCTCGTCGCGCGACACGCGTCCACATGTTCGAACGGGTTTTATGTCTCTTCGTAGTATTACAGACACGCTGTTGCCATCGCTTACAAGGTTAACGCGGCGAGAGTAGCGTTATTAAACGCTCTCCGTAATAGGCGGCCGGAGTAAGAACGGAGCTGCAATTATGTACAAAGGAAAAATTGCTATTTTATTGTCTTATACTTTTTGTATCGCAACAAATTAACTTTGTAAATAAAAATTGTTTACGTTTTTCTCATCTCTTTTATATATTTATATATTGTATTATTTTATTTTATATATTTATTATTTATATATTTATTATTTTATTTTATATATTTATTATTTTACTTTATATATTTTAAAGTGAGTTACCGCGAGAAACAACAGAAAAAGAATCAAATTCGAAAGATGACTCAACTTATCAGATTGATATTACGAATTGCATGTCTTATCATTTTAATCGAGTCATTAGTGCGTTCACCTTTCAGTTTTATCGAGCCAGATTTCGCGCGCACTCTTCTGTAAATAATAGATGTTTGAACAGCCACGAATATATGTATCTCACGGACATGTTTCACTATATGGCCTCATTTCATCCACGTGGCTGATGATAACGGGTAAAAAAAAATAGGAAGCTGAAAATAATAGAGCCGGAAAATCGTGGGCACGCATCTCTTTCGTAGTCATTCTCGACATCCGTTTGCGTTTTAAATATAATATTATTCAAGATTAATTATATTTAAAGAAGAACATGTGAGATTAACTTCTCGTGAAGATTATATACTAAAAT